TCTTTCAGGTTAATCTAATCATCTCTAAGTAATTCAGCCAGCTATTTCTTTCCTTTGCTATGTCTTTCCTTTGGAGAGGTAATAGCACAATAGTACTGGGGAATGACTCTAGGGATTCATGTATGCCACTGAATTACATCCCTAGCCCTTTGCCATTTATTATATTTAAGAGGCTTAGTTTCTCCCCATATTCAATACAAGACCTTTTTCTCTTTTTTGTTTGTTTTGAAGACATAGTCGTACTGTGTAGCTCTAAATGATATAAAACTCACAATGTATCCGGGGTGGCCTCAAACTTGCAGTGATCCTCCTGCCTCTGTCTTCTAAGTGCTATGAGCTACCATACCCAGTGCAAGACCCCAGTGTTCCAGATATTTCTGTTTTTTTGTTTTGTTTTTAAGGTCTCATATAGTATAGGCTGGGTTGGTATTTACTGTGTAGCTGAGGATGATCTTCCTGCCTTTACCTCCCAAGCACTGGGGTTGTAGGCATGGGCTACCACATCTAACCAGACTGGCCTAGACAACCAGGCCTCTGGCCTCTGCCTCCCAAGTTTTGGGATTATAGGCATGTACCAGTACACTGAACTGAGTGAGATACTGTTTTTTTAAATCTTCCTAGTATTTTTGCAAGTTTCTGCTCTTTCTGGGGTTTAATATTCATGATGCTATTCTTAAGACTGCCACTGCTGTAACTGTCCTTAGCATGTGAGTTTTCTGTTATCCTGGGTTCGTGGCCTTCAAATGTCAGAACTTCCCATGTTTTTGCCTTGTTTGGAAAATTTGTATTTTTAAAACATCACCCAGCAATTATTTCAGAATTATTTATTGATCCTTCACAAGTAGATTTTATCTTCTTTTTAGTGTCCAGAACCTTAACTGCTTTAAGATGCTAATTGCATGTGTACTGGTAGTTTTCCTTAGGAAATTTTGGCTTGAAGGTATTTTTCTTTTTTTGTTTTTTGGGTTTGTTTGTTTGTTTGTTTCTGGCTTTTTTTTTCTTTTCTATGATTTTCAAAAGCAGCAACTGTTACCAATACCAAATTGTGTGTTACTTGGGGGAAAATGAATTTCTTTTGTTGGTTTTGTTTGTTTATAGGACTTGGCCTATATAAATAACATGACTGTCTAAGCTTCTGAAGAAATTTAGTTATGAGCTAGGAAACTGAAAATATTGTAATCTGTCATCTCTGCTGTTTTTTTTTTCAGTCTTTTTGAGAAAGGGTCTCCCCATGGTCCCAGCTTGCCTGGCACTTATCCTCTCTACTTCTTGGCATACTCATCCTGTGTTGCTCAATAATAGATAGCATGGTTTTAAGAATAGCAGTCTAAGGGAACTAGAACGGAGGTCTAGGTGCACCTTTGTGTAGAAAGTTTATTCAGTAGCCTCAGCAAGAGGGCAGAGTTTAACAATATGGATTCCTGTGGTTTTTTTAAAATCTGGACTAGAGTTTTGTTTTTGTTTTTTGAGACAGGGTTTCACTGTAACCCAGGCTGGCTTTCAACTCCTGCCTCAACCTCACAAGGGCTGGAATACAGATGTGAGCTGCCACAACTGGTGGGTTTTTATTTTTCTCTTTAGGGTTAGCATATGAATATTCTGGTACATTTATGTATTGCGTATGTGAGGAGGGCTAAATTATAATGCCGCTTTCCCACAAATCAGATTTCCATGTTGTCCTTGTTTCGGTTACTATAATAGAATGCCCTAAGCTGCATATCTTATAAACAGCAGAAACTGGAGGATGGGAAGTCAGAGGATGGGCAGCTTGTTGTCTGGTGAGGGCTGACTTCATGGTTCTTATTGTATTTTCATGTGGTGGAACAGGCAAGGAGATCTGTTTAGAGCCTTTTAGGAAGGGCACACTAACCTATATCATTATCTAATCACTTTCCAGAGGCCTTAACTCCTAATACTAATTCATAACCTTGATAGTTAATTTCAGCAGGTGAACAATAGGGGAAAGAGAGAAGCCAAAATTCCAGAAAGGTTTTTTTATTTTTCCCTTTTTCCTTGTTTTTTTTTTGTTTTTGTTTTTGTTTTTGAGACAGGGTCTTCCTGAAGCCCCAGCTGTCCTCCTTCATATGTTGCCCACGCTGGCCTGGAACTCAAAAATCCTTTGTCCTCAGAGAGAAACATGATGGCATACATCTGTTACTATAATACTTGGACATGAAGTCAGAAGGGTGGGGCATTTAAAGCCAGCCTGGACTTTATGAAGCCCTATGTTTAAAAAAAAAAAAAGTAAATAACCCCCCTAAAAATTCTTTGGTGTCAGCCTCCTGAGTGTCTGGGATTACAAGTTTGTACCACCATGTTGGGCTTTGTAAAATTTTTCCTAATGAAACTCAACATGTAATAATAGGTGAGAACGTTGTCACCTAATATCAGATAATGAATATGGAGAATGGCATTCTTTCTTTAAAGAGCAACATTTTACTTCTGTACCAGTCATTTGCAAATGTTCATCTGTTGTAGCTGACTTAAATTTAAAGTAAGATTTTACTTATACAGTTCATCTCTGTTTTTGTTTGTTTGGTGTGGATTTGGGGGCAGGGGTTGTACATGTTTCATCTTTGAAAATGTCTCTATACATATACATACCGACATCTTAACCAAACCAGAAGCTTGAATTTAATGATACGTGTTCATCTCTTAGAGAAAGAATTTGATTCGATTCTTGGTTTACCTTTTAGAATAATATGACTTTTGGTTACTATTTCCAGTTGAAAGCTAGGTGGAAGCCCCTCAGCTACACAGTACATGAATTTTAAAATGAGGAAATTTACTTTACACTTACTGGACTCCAAAAACTGCTTTGGGGACTGTAGTTGGAGAGCAGAAAATGAATCTGCTAAGAATTGAAGGGAGGTGAACTCATTTCTTTGATAGCTTGTGTTACTAGTGCTAGTAATTGTTGCAGTGACTTTACCCTAGCACAAGGTTTGCATATAAATGTTGTTTTCTTATTCATTAAGGAGTATTGAATTAGCAGCAAAACCTAATCCCCTTCCCTAAAAAAACCCAATCCCACAATCATTTGTGTTTTGAAGATAGTAATTGAGGGTGTACTCATTAAGAAACAGAGTTTGATCTTTGGCCCAAGTCCCACGAATCACAGTAAAATTTAACTGTTGTTAACTCATCAAAATGCTACATTCCGGGCATGTAGCTTATATACATATATAATACATAGACAGACAGACACACACACACATATGTATGTATACACATACATCAACACCCCAGAGACTGAAGCAGGAGGATTACCATGAGTTCAAGGCCATTGAGGGCTACAAAGTGAGACCCTGTCTCAAGCAAAAAAATGGTAGAAAAAGTGAAGATTTCTAATCTGTAGAACTAAAGAGATTAAGTCCACCAGAGTAAGGCTCACATTGATACTGCTGGTTTAGTAACATGATGGACTCACATATTACTGCATAATAGTTTCCAGTGAAAACAAATGGATAAACATGTTGCATTTCCACAAGCATCGTAAATGTGCTCAACTAGTTTTTTTTTTTCCTACTCCCCATATATGTTTACCATTTCATTTATAAATCTCAGCAGGTTCTACTTCAGGTTGTTCTGAATTAAGTTTCCTCAACTTCGTTTCCTCAACTTCTTTTAAAGCACTTAAAACCCTAGCATTTAGAAAATGGAGGCAGGAAGATTGACAGTTCGAGGCCAGCCTGGGCTATATAAGTGAAACCTTGTCTTAAAGACATTCTCGCCTTTTGTCTCACGTAGACTGATCATACGGTTAGTTTGTAAAGTTAGCTTATATGTCTCAAATAATCAACACATAGGATGAGCAACAACTGAATATTATCAGTTGTATTTGTTAACTCATCAATAGCTAAGAAAAACCACTCTTATTTGCATGGTTGGTGACATTCTGTCCAGCATCCTCAACTTTTTGCACAACTCTGTTAAACAAAAGGCTAACATTAAATAAGTTTATTTCCTTTGGACATATTTCTTCACTCAAAATTTCATTTACCATTTACCATTTCTTTGCTTGAACAAAACGAGCCATTTGGAAATTTACTTTGGTTAAATTCTCATTCATTTTTTTATTTTTGTAAAGAAATAGTTTAGGTAAGTCCCTCAAGTTTTCTAATTTTTCAGACCATAGGTTTCCTGTATTGACAGTATTTTGACAAGTGTTTTAGTTTAATGATATCAATACATATATTACATTACTTTAGCACATTTGTGTCTGCATAATGTAATCCCATGAAAACTTCTTCTGTTGCACCTTTATGTGTGATATTCACAGTCCACTTTTCAGTTGACATGAGTATGCACACATTTTTTAAATATTTTTATGATTTTTATTGTATGTGTATAGGTGTATTGTCTGCGTGCATGTAAGTGCACTCTGTCATGCATTGACTGCAGGGGCATTGAATCCCCCTGGGACTGGAGTTATGGACGGTCGTTAGCCACCATGTTGGTGCTGGAAATCAAACCCTGGTCCTCTGCAAGAGCAGTTAGTGCTCTTAACCACTGAGCCATCTCTCCAGCCTCCAGTACTATTTTCTTTAATTTGAAGCTATCTGTACTTGGTACATGCCTGTAATCCTGGCCCTTAACAGGCACAGACAGGAGAATCATGAGTTTGGGTGCAACCAGGATTACATAGAGTTTCCTGTCTCCAAAAACTATGTCCTAGTCTGGGAGTGTGTCCTAGTGGTGGAGTGCATGCCCTGGGTTAAGTTCCTAGCACCTCAACGTAAAAATCATTCTTAGATTACAAAGAGAGTAAAAAGAGGCAGTATTGATTAAATTTGGCCCAAGAGCTGCAGTTTGCTAACTTCTGACCTATTCTTCCTAGTTTAATAGTGCTTTTCCAACTTTTTTTTGTTATAGCATTTCATTTACTAATTGTTAAAATTTACACCTCTATCCGTATTCTAGATTTTTACATAAATAAAACTGTTAGGTGGAATGCATAGTGATGTCTGACTTCAAGATTGTTCCTCTTTCTCTTTTAGATATTTTTCCACTTGTTCATCAAGATGGAAAGCTCAGATTCTAACGATAAAGGAAGTGATCAATCTACAGCACAGCGCAGAAGTCAGATGGACCGATTGGATCGGGAAGAGGCTTTCTATCAGTTTGTGAATAATCTGAGTGAAGAAGATTATAGACTTATGAGAGATAACAATTTGCTGGGCACCCCAGGTATGCTACATGTAATTTAAGTTATATGTGTAAATTTCTTGGTTTTAAGAAGAAAGTTGTTTTAAAATCTGTTTATTTATGACATGATTAATACAAGAGATATCGAATGGCATTTACACTGTGTTTATTGCCTGATTCTGTTCTTTCATATTTGGAATTAGCCTGTGTCAGAGATATTTAAATTTTTTGGATTATATTATAAATTTTTAGTGAAGTGATTTTAATAGAGTGGAGCTGAACAGTTTTAGTCTTAACTTGCTAGCCATTATTCCAGATGTCAAATAACTAATGGGGACTTTAGTTTCAGGGAAAGACTCATCCTATTATGTCATCTTTGATTCTCTAAACCTGCCCCAACTGTAACCAGAGTTAGCTGTGGGTAAAATAGCACAAGAACTTTCTCTTTATTCTCTTTCACCCAGCTAAGGTCTTATTTGATCCTAGTTAGAACTGTCTACCTCTTCCTTCCCATTTCTGTTTCCACTAGCCTGTGGATGATTCCATTAATTTTCAAAGGTAAAGATTTAGCAAGGCTTTTGATAGAGGCAGTGCATTTTTGAGCCAGTATTATCATACTTAGAATGTCTTAGCTGGAGTTCTGGCTCTGCTGTTACTCGGTGTGACTTCTGGCAGGTCAGTCTCTCCATTTAAAAATACAGATAACAAAGCCAGGCATGGTGGCACATGCCTGTAACTCCAGCCACACAGGATGCTGAGGCAGGATGTTCTCGAGTTTTAGATGAGCCTGGGGGGACCCTTTCTTAAAAAGAATCATGAGGAGGGAGGAGGGTGGGGAGGGAGAGAGAGAGACTCACTGGTTTTCATTTGTAATTTGGCAAACATTGTTAAACTTTCAGGTGAAAGTACTGAGGAAGAGTTGCTCCGAAGACTACAGCAAATTAAAGAGGGTCCACCGCCACAAAACTCGGATGAAAATAGAGGTATACTTTGTTTTGGGAGGTGGGTAGAGGATGGGATGATAAGAACTTCATAATAGTAAATGTCAACTAAAGATTATCGGGAAATGCCACTAATTAATTTGGTGCTAAGTAACTGCCCATAAAAAGAGAAGTGGCATTTTCTTGGTATTTGGTGAGAATGTCAACATGCTGTTTTCTGCCTCACCTTTGGATTGTTTGTGTTAATTGGGCCACAGTGCGAAATGACCTATTTAAATGTGATTCCCTCTGCACCCCCCAGCTTTCCACCTACTTAATTCCTTATTTATAAACATAAGGCCTCACCAGCAAAAAGAAATGCTTTGTCTTTCCTAGTGCCTTTCAACTGGGTATAATTTTTTCCCCTTAGAGAGTATTGGCAATGACTGGAGACATGTTTGGTCAACAAAACTGAGTGTTTGCTAGTAGCATCTAGCAGAGAGCAGATATGCTGTCAACCACCCTGATATCCTACAACACATACCACAGTTCTCAGAATTAATTGACTCAAATTGTTAGTGGTGCTGCTGCTAAGCAAGCTGTCTGTAACCTCCAGGCTGGCATTTCCCTTTCAACAGGAAATAGGGAATTTGACTGTGTAAGAGCATACCATGGTAGCAGTTTGGTTCTTAGACATACTGTTGGTTATGCTCTCTGTACTAGGCTCAGACTGTTGATTTGATGTGATGTTCAGTTTTATGTTGCTTTAAAATCTTGAAGATATTGATATTCACATACTTATAAACCATTTTTTTTGCTATGACTACAGTATCTTGTATTTTAAAATAATTTCAGCTGGGTGTGGTGTCACACTCCCTGAATCCCAGCACCCTCCAGGCAGAAGCAGGTGAATCTGAGACCAAGGCCAACTGGGACTGTAAGAAGACCCTGTCTCAAAAAAAATTCATGTTATCAGTGGCATTTAATTAAGCCTGTAGTTGAAGTAATATAGACTGATGAAAATTTGATAAAAAATATAATTGGAACCAAACTACCAGTGCTGCCCCCTAACTAGTGGTTATGTAATTTGATTATGTTTTAACAGTGGACTAAAAAACGTTACCTTCTGACAGTCTCACAGTGTCTTCTAGACTCTGTATCATAAAGTAGTAAAAATAGACTTCCTTCAAATACCCTCAGAAAATAAAGCCATTCTAAATCTCTCTTAGCTTTCTCTTTTCAAATAGTTTAACTTTCTCCTGTTTTTTGCTTATAAATCAGTATGGCATACATCTTGCAAAGCTTTGTGAATTAAAAATTTGTTCAGAATTGTAAAATTCTTTAATGTAGTTTCTAATTCTAATCACTGTATGGTTGTCCTAATTTAGCAGTTCCTTTCTCTCCCCCTCCTCCTCCTCTGTTTTAAACAGGTGTAGAGTCTTCAGATGATGTGTCCAATGGTGACTCTATAATAGACTGGCTTAACTCTGTCAGACAAACTGGAAATACAACCAGAAGTGGTCAGAGAGGAAACCAATCATGGAGAGCAGTGAGCCGGACTAATCCAAACAGTGGTGATTTCAGATTCAGTTTAGAGATAAATGTTAACCGTAATAATGGAAGTCAAACCCCAGAGAATGAAAATGAGCCATCTGCAAGACGTCCTAGTGGAGAAAATGTGGAAAACAACCAAAGGCATGTAGAAAATCCAGCATCTGAATCAACATCTGTCCAACCATCTAGGTCAGAACGAAATTCAACTGAAGCATTAACAGAAGTGCCATCCACCAGTGGTCAGAGGAGGGCGAGAAGCCGGAGCCCAGAACATCGGAGAACCAGAGCAAGAGCTGAAAGAAGTAGGTCTCCGCTGCATCCAACAAGCGAAATTCCACGAAGAGCTCATCATAGTATCTCATCTCAGACTTTTGAGCACCCTTTGGTGAGCGAGACTGAGGGAAGTTCCAAAACCCGGCACCGTGTGACCTTGAGACAGCAAATAACTGGGCCCGAGCTGCTAGGTAGAGGCCTTTTTACAGCTTCTGGGGCAAGAAATGCCTCTCAAGGAACAGGTTCTTCAGACACAGCTAGTAATGGTGAGACAACGGGATCAGGACAGAGACCTTCAACCATAGTCCTTGATCTTCAAGTAAGAAGAGTTCATCCTGGAGAATATCGGCAGAGAGATAGCATAGCTAGCAGAACTCGGTCAAGATCTCAGACACCAAACAACACTGTCACTTATGAAAGTGAACGAGGAGGTTTTAGGCGCACATTTTCACGTTCTGAGCGGGCAGGTGTGAGAACCTATGTTAGTACTATCAGGATTCCCATTCGTAGAATCTTAAATACTGGCCTGAGTGAAACTACATCTGTTGCAATTCAGACCATGTTAAGGCAGATAATGACAGGTTTTGGTGAGCTGAGCTACTTTATGTACAGTGACAGTGATTCAGAGCCTAGTGCCTCAGTCCCAAGTCGAAATATGGAAAGGGCAGAGTCACAAAATGGAAGAGGGAGCTCTGGTGGTGGTAATGGTTCATGTTCCAGCTCCAGCCTCAATCCCACTTCCAGTGGCGAAAGTTCAGAAAGTAGCTCAGAGGTATTTGAGGGCAGTAACAAAGGAGGCTCCTCTGCCTCAGCAGGTGCCAGGAGAGATGGCCGACATAGGCCTTCCGTCACATTTGATGAAAGTGGCTCTTTGCCTTTCCTTAGTCTGGCTCAGTTTTTCCTCTTAAATGAGGATGATGACTATGATGACGATAATGACGACCAACCTAGAGGACTCACCAAAGAACAGATTGACAACTTGGCAATGAGAAGTTTTGATCAAAATGATGCTTTGAAGACATGTAGCATTTGCATTACATAATATACAGAAGGCAACAAACTTCGTAAACTACCTTGTTCCCATGAGTACCACCTGCACTGCATTGATCGCTGGTTGTCTGAGAATTCTACCTGTCCTATCTGTTGCAGGGCTGTCTTAGCTTCTGGGAACAGAGAAAGTGTTGTTTAAGATCTGAACTCTCAGCTATGGAGCTAGAATAGTGATAGGCAAACAGAAATCACTTGCTTTCTGTCCACTTTTTGAGTGGTGCTTCAACATAAAGTTAACAACCTGAATTGAGTCATTAGTTTCTGAACGAACCCTGTGTTTTCTCTTCCAGAATGACAAAAATATTTTAAAAGCCACGTTTTAGGACGTAAACATTTGATGTCAGTAGCAGGTGAATTGGTAATATTTCTGTTACTGATAATTTACCCATATACATCGTCAGTTTCTCCTTTGTTATCTTAAGGTCTTTCTTAGTGGTCTGTATCATGTTAACCTCTTTTTAAAGTTTGCCATAAGAGAGGCATTAAGAAAACCCCTACTCAAGACTACGTTACATTATGTGTTTCATAAGTGATTACTTAAAGTTATACCATTCCCAGTTATTAGATGACACAAATTCAGTCACATTCTGAATATTGTTTGTTCCACCTTTCAGACTAGGCGATACCGGACATGTCAGTGTAAATAACACTAAAGTTAGGATCTTCTAAGTGTATAACTGTCCTAAGCCCATCACTGTGGCACACAATAGAGTAAGCTTATAGTTTAATTGAGATATTTATCTTGTGGAAATATTAAAAAGCCTATGCTTGTGTAAGTGAAAAAAATCACATTCTTTTAAAAATGTAAAGCTATTTTGTAGAGGCTCAGTACTTTTCCAATGCACTGTTGTATTAATGCATTAAAAAATGTAAAGTTACCATGCTTTAAAAAAAAAAGAAGAAAGCAACAGGGCTGGAGAGATGGCTCAGTGGTTAAGAACACTGACTGTTCCTGCAGGAGACAACACGGGTGCATTTACATACATGGAGGCAATGCACGCATACACATAAAATAATAAATAAAATTTAAAAGAAGAAGAAAGCAAGCCAGCACCAGTGTTCATCATACTCTGCTTCCTGAGTATGGATGCGTGTGATCATCTGCTTCACGCTTCTGCCAGCATGACTTCCCCACCGTGTTGGATGTACCCTCGAATTATGAGCCAAAATAAACCCTTCTTCTGTCAGCTATTTCCTCACAGCCACAAGAAAATATGCCAGTGACACAGGATGTTACTAGGGAGTTCAGACTGGCCTAGAACTTGCAGTGTAGCCCAGGCTGGCCTCAAAGTTGTGATCCTCCTGCTTCAGCCTCCTGAGTGCTGGGATCACAGACTAGAGCCACCTTGCCTGGCTAACAAGGGCTTCAGACCCTTCCCGCATACCCATCTCCATGAGGGCCATGAAACTACACTCTCTTCATGGTAAGTGCATGAAGTTGCCAGAAAGATAGAAATAGGTAAACATTGCAATCACTTGAAAATAGCCATGGCCTACTATGAAAAAATAGTTACAAAACAAAATGGAAAAGGAGCTGCAAGGTGGAAAAGAATTAGCAGACATCTAGTGTAAGAATGGAGAGAAGCATGCAGATTAGACCTGCCGTGTTGCTAGAGGCCACCGGGAAGTGGCAGCCCAGAAAAATGTCCCTTCCACAATGAAAAAGTGTGGGTGCTCGTGCCGAGAGCAAAGGACAACTTTTGGCAGTCCATTCTCTCCTTCCATGGTAAGATCGGGATCAAACTCAGGTCATCAGGCTTACACAGCAAGCACTTTTACCTGCTCACCATCTTGCAGGCCTAGTAGCTATTCTTTATTCCTTCTCGTTCTGTATATGTGTGTGGTTGAGATGGTGCTGTATTTGCAGTTTTGCCACTAACTTTATACCAAGGACTTTGTGTACTCTGCTTTTAAATTGGTACCAAGTGCTGTGCTTCGTCATCTTATCATTGTCCATATAGATTCTTTTAGGTAAACATTTAGTTATTTTTCTTATTTTTTGCTGTATTGAGGATCAAACTCAGGCAGGGTCTTGCACATACTAGACAGCCTCTCTACCTCTGAGGTATATCCCCAGCTATTGGTTGCTTTTTAAAGACAAGATAATCAACAGCAAAGCTTTGTCCGGTTCCACTGGAAGAGATGGGGACTGGAAAAAAGACTGTTGGGTTTGACTACCAGCAGGGCAGAAGCTGAGTGAATGGCTAGGAGATAGCCAAAGCCACAGAGGGGCTTGAGCAAGCCTGTGCTCCTTTGGATATGTTAAGTGATAAAAACTGAACTAGTGATGTAGCTCAGTGATAGAGCACCTGTCAAGTACATGTAATGTCCTGGGTGTATTCTCAACACACTGTAAGCAAATAAATAAATGAACAAATGAATTCAACACAGTTTCTCAGAGGGGTAAGAGCCCAGAAGACAGAAGCAATGAGAGAATTGGGCCCACTGATGGAGTGAGGGCCTTCAGCAGATCAGGGGAACCAGGGCCCCCTGAAGGAGCAAGGGCCTTCAGGTCAGGGGAACCAGCTCCAGGAGCAGAGGGAATCATTTCTGCTCAGAGGTACTGCAAAGAAAAGCCTAGAGGGAACAGGATAAAGCAGAATTCATGTCCATCGCTCACAGATGTCAGTGTCCTGGGGATGGGGTGGGGATTAGAAGGGGTAAGAGGGTTAGAGGGCAGCCAGTGATATTTGCCACAGCAGGTGTGTGGAGGTCAGAGAAGGGAGTCCATTCTTTCCTTCTATTACATGGGTCTGGGGATCAAACTCAGGCTGTCCGACTTGGTGGCAGGCATCTTTAGCTGCTGAGTCATCTTGCTCACCCCTTAATGGGATTTAGAATTACAGAAACAGTCTCTGAAGGTGTTTGCAGAATAGTTTAACCTAGGGAAGACCCTGTGTGCTGTCCTTCAACTGTGGTCCTGAACTGAATAAAAAGGAAAAAGCCTGCTGAGCCCCAGCGTTGTCTCTGCTGCCCGAGTGCTGATACAATGTGACCAGCTCCCTCCTGTTCCATCCATCACCACCTGCTCCTGCCGCCATGCCTGCCCTATCTTGATGGACTCCACCCTTAAAATGTGAGCCAAAATAAACCCTTCTTTCTGTAAGTTGCTTTTCTCTGGTATTTTGTCACAGCAATGAGAATAATATACCCTGTCCTAAATGTTTTTAAAAGTGAAAAACAAAAAGGACTAAGGCTATAGCTCAGTCACAGAGCACTCACTCAGCATGTGCAAGGCCATGGATTTCATTCCCATGTCCTGTCCTGGAAAAAAATTGCTTTCATAAGACAGAAACATGTATGGGGTCAAGATCCACTTAGAAAAGGTGATGTGACTTTGAGAAGAAAGCAAGGTAGAGGTTAAGAGGCCTGGCCTCTGATATTAGCCAGGACAGCAAAGGGCCGCAAGGATTTGTGTGGTACATGTAATTGCCTGTCCTTCAGCAATTACAGACACCAAACTCCTTTCACCATCAGCAGAAAGGTAATTGACATAATTGTGGAGACACCCCTAGGCATTCCT